AGTGCAATAATAATAATATTAGAGTCATTACAGATTCAAATCAGGGACACCCCCTAACATTGGAGGGTTTGGCTACTCATAATATTCAAAGAAAATACAAAATAAAAATTAGACATTACAAGATAAGAGGGTTCTTGGATCTTTAATGGCTTCCGCTCGTCAAAAACCTTCAGTTCTCCAATCACCTTGATCTCTCTAATCCTGATAGTGCAATTCTTCTCTTCCAAAAAGTCTTTATTTTCCTTCTCAAAATCTGTCTTAAATACTCCTGGGTCCAACACAGTAGTAGAAAAATACCCAAAATACCCATAGGGATCACAAAGGCCCAATATATTAGAAAATTGGCAGATGAAACGCATCATCCAACACGGGTCGTGTTAGCTGACACGGGCGGCCGTGTTGGCTCCTTGGTCATCTGATGCAAAAGCAACCCTGCTCCAGACTTGCTGACACGGGCGCCCGTGTCAGCTCTCTATTTCACTTTTAAAACTCTTTCGAATTACTGTTGTTTTTCCCGGCTTTTGCTCCGATTTTTCTTGATTGCGTACCTGAACCTAAAAACAATGGAAATACCATACCAACGCATAAAATGCGATAAAAGGAAATAAAATGCAACTAAACACATAAGACAATTAATTAAAATTCATGGTAAAATAACGTATGAAAATCACTGATCAGATAACAGATCTGTGGAGTTGCTTATGGAGAAAATGAATGACTTTGCAAAGGCAACTAATTTAGTTGTTAATCCTGCAAAATTTAGTGCTTATTATAGTGGTGTGGAGATTAATATTAAAGAGGAAATTTATGACATAACGGCTATCAGCGAGAGGAAGTTACCATTTCGATACCTTGTGTGCCTCTGATGAGTAAAAAACTTTCAATACAACACTACATGGGACTGGTTGATCGTATCGTGGCAAGGATCAGGCATTAAGGCCTGAAACTCCTTAGTTATGCAGGGAGGATTCATTTGTCAATAATATCTCTACATCAATGGCTACGTACTGGATGCAATGCCTTCTGTTTTTGAAGAAAGTGATTCAAATGATTGAGTCAATTTGTCGCTCTTTCATTTGGACAGGTGAGGATAAAATTTTAAAGAAGTCATCGGTTGCTTGGAAGCAAATCTGTAAACTAAAGAGTAGAGGCGAATTAAATATCTTAAACTTGGAAGAGTGGAACAAAGCCTGCCTTACAAAGCTCCTTTGGAATCTCAGTGGAAAGAAGGACAACTTATGGATACAGTGGGTTCACATATTCTATTTCAAAGGTAAACCTATGGTGGATGCCTAGCTGCCACAGAATGTATCACGAATCATAAAAGCTACCATGAAGCAAAAAGAAAACATCATGAATATGGCTGGCTAGAATTCTCTGGAGATGAGATTTGAGACGAGAAAAGTTTTTGATTTTTATGCAGGTGAGTCTACTAAGGTCGATGTCTAATGCACAAAATAGTGGCTCTCCCAAAGGTGGTGTTTGTCCTTTGGTTGGCATGCCACAATAAACTGGCGACAAAAGAGAGATTAAAAAGATATGGAATGTTAAGTAATGATAATTGTAGCTTTTGTGGGAATGTGGAAACCACAAAACACTTATTATTTGCTTGCTCACAACTGAATTGCATTTGGAACAAGTGTTGAATTGGTTGAGTATTAACCATGAATCTAGAGGGTGGAAGGAAGAATTTGATTGGATTATTTGCAAAGAAAAGGACAAAGGTTGGAGAGTCTGCCTTATGAGAAGTGTTGCGGCGGAAACAATATATGAACTGTGGAAGTATTGAAACAACCAGAGCTCTGGAAATAATATATAAGTGTGGAAGTATTGAAACAACCAGAGCTCTGGAAACAGTATATAAGTGTGGAAGTATTGAAACAATATATAAGTGTGGAAGTATTGAAACAACGAGAGATTTAGAAACAATGTGAATAATTTAGACATTGTGGGTATATTAATAGAAACCTTAGCCTGTAGAGGATGGTGCAATCCTAGATTTAAGGAACACATTGCTAATCTTATGATAGATTAGTTGTTTGTATGGTGGATTTTTTGTTTTATTTTATTTTGTTTGTGGGTTGGACCCTTGGATCACCGTGTACATTCATTATTTTGGATTTAATAAAATCTATTTTATCCAATAATTTTAACTAATGTGTCATGAGTACCAAAACTCCATTTGTATAATTATTCTAATATAATTGATTTTACATCATCATTGTTTATTTGAATAATTGATTTCAAATTTAAAGATGCATTTCAATATTCTTTATACTATATGAAATAAATTTACACGTGCGCATACACAAAATATCTTATTAGTTATTCTTATTTAACCAATTTAAATGTTGAAGTGTTGATTTTACACAGAGATCCCTTTTTTGATCATAAAAAATATTCACCGATATATCGAAAATCGTGTGTAGTAGTTTTCACCAATCTACTTTCCTTTTTTGTTTCACATCGAAATACTAAATTTAAAAAAGAAAATTACCAAAATAACTTAAAATAAATTAGATTGAATTTGAATTCAAGTTTAAAATCGAATAATTAATAAATAACATGATATTGTTTTCAACCATTAATTTAATTCATAAACACTTCTATGCAAAATAAAATAAAATTGCATCATTGTAAACTAATCACAATCAACTTTTTCTATAAATTTTAGAAAATACAAATTAAATAAATTCTTTTTAATAATTTAACTATTATAAGATTAATAAAAAAAGTAATTAAACTTAAATTTCAACCAAAAAAATAAAATCAAAATTAGAAATAATAGATACTCCGTATCATCTAGAAATTTTTCTTCAAATAATTTATTTTTTCAAATTAATATTCAAATTAACCCATTTTTTCACGTATTTCTCAAACTAATCCACTTTTTAAAAAAAAATTAATAAAAAGGTGTTACCAATTCAATTGGCGACAGTGTACAAAAAGAGTATATTTTTTCTCTTCTGTGTTTGTACACGGTCGTTAATTGAATTGACGACATTTACGAATTTGTATACTGTCGATAATTGAATTGACGACACTTTTTTAATAAATTTATTTTTTAAAAATGAGTTAATTTGAGAAATACTTTAAAAAATGAGTTAGTTTGAGTATTAATTTAAAAAAAAGAAGTTATTTGAATAAAAATTTCTATTATCTATTACACCAAACCAACAAAATCCGTATTAATAAATTATGAGCAACTTTTTCTTGAAATAGAAAATAAAACATTATATAAATTTATAATGCTAGGCCAAAAAAAACCCGAACCGTTCCCGTAACCCGATTAGGGCGAGCCCCACGAACACTTTAGGTGAGTCCCACGTGTCCGTTCGAGGCCAAACAAACGCGATATACAACTGCAGAAAAAAGAAAAGTCAGATTTTTTTATGTTTCTAGACACTGTCCTTTATCATTCATCTTACACGTGTCTCAACACTATTCGATGATTACACCGTTGCTGTTTCTCTTCTCCTCTCATGTTATCGGTTACTTCTTCTTATTTATCTCTCTCTTTTCTCATTCTCTCTCTGCGTGCGCTCTCATGACTTTTGAGTTTTCATCACTTTCTTTTCCTACCCAACTACGTTTTCTCTAGATCCAACCACTTTTGTTACCAACAATCAATCACTTCTCGTTTGCTTTCGCTTCAATCTACCTGTACTTAATTCACCACCACTCTCGTTAGGTCTTGCTTTCCCTTCTCTCTCTATGCCATTCCCTCAGGTTTGATTTGATTCATCCCTTTCTCGTTCGGTATTTGTTTATTATGTTGAATTTTGATTTGATTTGTAATTGGTGTTTGGATCTGCTTTTGATTCTTTATTGGAGTGATTCAATTTTGGTAATTGGATGTTTTTAGATTTTGGTTCGAGTAGATCTTGTGTTTTTTTTTTTTTTTTGTAATTTAGGGTTTGTGAATTTTACTTGAATTGACTCTATTCATTGGTTTTTGAGAAATTGGGCAGATCTGGTTAGGGTTTTGATGTTTTTGTTGTACTTAGGTTTTCTTTTGTTGCAAATAGAATAGGATTTGGCCGAAGGAAAATCAGGTCTTGAAATCAAGCTCACTGAATATAATTGGCTTTGAGTTTGATTTGTATTCTGTTCGGACAATGTAGTGTGGTGTAAATTATAATTTTTCATATTTATACATTATAGAGTCATTGATCGACTTCAATTTCAAGTGATTGCTATTCATTTTTGCCTAAAACAAGGAAAATTATCGGTTACAAGACCTAGAAAGACCATAAGAAATCTTACTAAAAAAGATATAGAGATTAACGAGTTCCATAAACATGGTCCTGGATAGAACATTATGTTGCCAACCATATGCTTGGTTGTTGTTGTATCTGTATAACATTTGGATTCTTCAATACCGTCTATTCTCATGACTGTGTTTATCTATGGACACTTAAGTTTCATCAGTGGGATACTTTTAAAGGAATTTTGATTTGTGGTCATTTTTGAGATATTGTCGTTCCTATAACTGTGTATTTGCATATTGTCTATCTGTAAATGAATCATGACTCTTTATGTTTGTGAGCACTTGCAGTTTTTGACGACTTTGCTGTATTTGTCCTTAAACTGCAGTTGGGAAGGGTGTACTGGAGTCAAAGTTTAGCTTCTGGGCACAAATTTATTAACAGTATTGCAAACCTGTTGGCCTTTCCGGGATGGGAAAGTGCAAGTGTTGTGGGAAGTTAGGAAGAATGGGGCCAAGGGATGGATCTAAGAGTGCTTATGAATTTTCTTTGATGTTGTCTCCTGTCGTTTCTTTTTGGGACTGCATTGTTCGTAAAATGAGGTACTCCTACAGACCTGAGTGGGTGTAGTGGTTCGAGCTTTTCCGTTAGTACTAGTCTTCATACTTCAACTAATTAGAATTTATTACTAGCATAATAATAGTTTAGGTGAAAAAAGTTATAGAAAAATGTATACGCACTAAAGGATTTCTCTTGAAGGATAGGGTTTCGGAACAGTCATTTTAAGTATTTATGTCTTTAGTAAGTTCAATGGATAACATGGCATGTAATAAAGGGCAACATGTGAGAAAGGCGAAGAAGAAACAGGTGAAAGACGAGTTGGATCGTCTTAAACAGGCTGAAAAGAAAAAGAGACGGCTGGAAAAAGCTCTGGCTACGTCTGCTGCCATCATATCAGAACTAGAAAAAAAGAAACAGAAGAAGAAAGAAGAACAACAGAGACTTGATGAAGAGGGGGCTGCAATTGCGGAAGCTGTCGCTCTGCATGTTCTACTCGGTGAAGACTCAGATGATTCATATAAGGTTGAGTGCAAGACTTGGGATGATTATAATCGTAATCTTGATTTCTTCATGGGTGGGAAAAGAGCTTGTTTTCCGAATCTAGATGGAGGCACATGGTCCGTCACCACTGAAAATGGCAAGTGGTCTATCTCATCCGGGCCTTTCGAAAACAACAATGTGCACGCTCCACCGTACGGAGAACCGGTATGGGATCCTACACGATTCTCTGTTGACCTTATAGCAGCACAAGCAGTTAGATCACTCCAGATTGCAGAGAATGCAGATGAGGATAGGATTCTATTCTAATGGAATCCTTACATATCGATTAATCGTGTCTTTGCTGGGGACTTGAGTCTTTTTATTTTATTTTATTTAAGGTCTTTCATGTGTATATAACTACATTCTATATTATATATCGTGAGTCTTGTGTTTGTCAAACAACACATTCTGTTTCAGCTGTGATTGAACATGTTGGCAGTGTCCCCATGTTTTATTCTGATTTGCTTTACCTTTATGTGAGGATGCTAATTTTCTTTGTGGAGTGATGACTTTCATACTCAGGTATTGTAGGGAACTATACTTTTTTGAGCTGATTATCAATGGTAATAATATAAATGGAGGCCTCATGATTTATATACTTGCACTGTTGAATCATTTACTACTATTACGTCTCATATATATCTGGTTTGACAAGCTTGTGATGATGTTGGTATTTAAAGTAACTTCCTAAAATTCATTCTATTTGCAAATGGAGTTATGATGTCATGTTTTTTGACTTTTTGAAACTTTGGTGCTCAGCAAAGTAATCAGCATTACCTCATGTCTTGCGTCAGTACAGGAATCCTAAATTCTGAGAATTGCCGTTTTTGGAATGCCGTGTGATTACTGTATTGCATATGCTGACCTAATAACGTTAAAACTTACTCAAAAGTCTGAGTGTGGTGCAAAAGATATTTGAGTGATTGTTTATTGTACTTTTATGTGAACAATACAAAGTAGTAGTACCTCTTTGTGACTCACTATAGATGCTTTAACATAGGTTATAAATTGTTTCCGGTTGTGAAGTTACTTTTTCAGTATACAGTTTTACAAACAAGGCACTAATTAAAACAGTGATTTGAATAAGGTGTAAAAATTGCAGTTGTTTTTTTGACTTAAAATGTACATGCGGTAAACCTATGGTAGCTTCCAATACTATATACATCATTCAGTCACATGGATTCTCAGCTTCTGAACTACTAGAAAGTAGATGGTTTCACACCATTAGTAAAATAAGCATGTTGAACTCTAGGAGATTCTTCTTCTCTAGGGGAATCATCCATATCAGCTTTAACATTATTTGTAACACAGAACAGGATTCGGTGCGCTGCTTTGCATGCTGATACAATCTCTGTTTTTGCTTGCCTGAACCGCGATGTTGCATTCCCAGCCACTTCCTTAGCAAGATCACCAATGTTCGCAAACCTGTTAACCCAACCTGTCATGAAAGGTGCAAGAATACACAGTTGAAGCTGTAAAATATATTAAAAAGGTAACAATTCATCACAAAATTAAATAGATTGATTCTAAAGTTAACCTGGAGGTTTTGGAACGCCTAGTCTTCGACAAAATTCATCACAGAAGTGGTTGCAGTTTTTGGAGAAGAGATCATAAGAATTTCCAGGCCACTCTCTACTAAGTTCTCTTAATATTTGATTTACCTTGAAAATATTGTAGTTTGTTTTTCCTAGAACAAGGGATTTTCTATATGTAAACGCTGTGTTCTTCCCAGAAGGAGAACTGAAAACTCCAGTTCCTTCCTCACAGAATCCAAATGACCATTCTTCATCTCCATAAACCTGTCACAGTACCACAAACAATCACTAAATCACCATATATTATAACTAAATCAACGATTCAGTATACATATAATGAAGATTTTAAGGGAGACTCAAGATTCAAGATACAATCCAAATAACCGAAAAAGAAAACAGAAAGAAATAACGAGGAGACAGTGGATTAAGACCTGAACAGCGCTGTGGAATATTCCACCGAGACCAATACCGTTCTTGAAGATCTTGTTGATGTGAACAACGGTGCTGTTCGTTTTCTCCGAACCACTGGTCAAGTCGTACACGTGAAGTGTCACTTTCGCCATCTTCAACAAAAATCAGAGTGAGATTCTTGAATTCTATGTACCTGGGGTTTGAATCAGAGTTAGATTCTGCCGCAAGAATCCTTCAACTTAATTTCTATCTTTGCCATTATCAAGAGTGTAAGTGTTTCTTGAATTTGTATTTGAGAGGGAACAAATATAACTGCGGCATGAAATGTGGCGCTGATCATTATAGTTTATTGCTAATGCTTCTTGGCCCTTGGTTGTGAGGGTTTGAGAGAAAATTGAAAAAAAGAAACTTATTATGAATAAGCGATTGATTAAACGAAACAGTGTATATTGCTGGTATTAATTTATAGAGAGCACAAGTTAAAACTATAACTAGTGTAACTAATTCTATCATATTGGTAATTGTCATAACAGAATTACCAACTAACTGTCAACTGATACTAACATAATAACAGAATATTTTGAATATTTCAAAATTCACTTTTTCTCAGTGACATATTGTTGTAACATTTCCTTCTCCAAGGATAGATGTTTTTAATAGAATATAGTGACATAGTATAGTATTCTATTGTTTGAATAATTGTTAAAATGATGGAATAGAATGGAAAATGATGATATCAATTTCATTGTGTATCTTCATATATATCTAAATTATGTTCTATTCCTCATAAAATTTTCAAATTATAGAATAGGGCCCATGTTTTATTCCACTACTAATACAAACATACTTTTGGTATAACTACAACTACATGCATAGCGCCTAGGGCTGGAAATGAGTCGAGTCGAGTCGAACTCACCTCAGCTCGGCTCGACTCATTAAGAATTATTCGAGTTCGAGTTCGAGTTCGAGTTTGACACGAACTTTTTTTTAAGCTCAAACTCGACTCGTTATAAGTTCACGAACAGTTCGGTTCGACTCGTTAGGTTCATCTCATTAGGTTCAGCTTACATGGTTCACGAACTTAAAAACTATTTTTTTAAATATATATATATTTTTTAGTATATTTGACATTTTAAATAAATAAATATTTTTTAAATAAAATATTAAAATAAAATAAAAGTTATCATATTGAAATTTAACTTTATCTTCGAAATCTACTAATTCAAAACCTACACAACTTTCAAGAGATACATTTGAGAGTCTAATTCAAAAACTACTAAATTGAAGATTAAATTTGTCTAAGATTTGAAGTAAATATTTAAACCTAATCTTAAAGACAATATAATTCTTTTCATATGTAATCGAGTTGACTCATGAACCTAACGAGTCGAACCATGTATAGTTCAAGTTCAGCTCATTTAGTTAACGAACTTAATTTTTCGCTCATACTCAACTCATTTGGTTCATGAACCTAGTTCAACGATTTAATTGTCGAGTCGAATTTCGAACTATTTTCGAGTTGATTTGGTTCATTGCCAGCCCTAATAGCGCCCATAGTTTCATTTCATTAATTCAATGTCTTTTTTCTTTGTTAGCTTCTTTGGATGTGTGTTTTTTTTTGTATCATTATTTGCAGTTGGTGAGGGATCTTGCAACACCATGGGAATTTTTTATTTATAGCTGTGAGCTGTAAAGTCTAAGTCTATTGACCAAATTCAATATTAAATTTGAGAGTTTGGTGAAATATATGAGAAAGCACTAAGAATTTGAGAGTTTGGTAAAATATATGAGAAAGCACTAAGAAGAAGCATGTCACAATTAATGTTTTAAAACCTGTACTAGAGAGTTCAACTAATTAAACCGTGACTATATGTGAATTAAAAATCCATCTTTTAATTGTAGAGTGACAAATAGACATGTCTGCTCTGTCAAATCCGTCAAAAAAAGGGTGAGACGGACAAAATAAAGGGGATGGATTGGAAAACCTTGGCTTGACTGTCAAAAAAACAGAGCGGGGCCTGGGACCCTACCACCCCTAAGCCTAAAAGTGGCAACAAGTATGTCTCTCTCACTTAGACCTTTGCAATGTAAAAACAAATGGATTGGGGAGGTTCGAAAGCTTAGGCTCGGTCGTCTAAAAATAGTTGACTAAACAGGTATGACGGAGTTAGTTTGTTTAGCTTTGGCAAGCTAAACAGAGGGTCTGTCGGATTTGGTCTTGGTCTGTTTTGATTTGGCAGGCTAAACGGAGTTTGACGGGCCTGATCCGTTTATGGCTACTAAGAAGGTCTGTTTTGGTCTATTTTGTTTTGATAGGCTAAACGGGGGTCGGACGGGTCTGATCCGTTTTGTCATTTTATTTATTTGTATAAGTTCGATCATGGTTTCTTCTCAATTCGAGTGGTTTAAAACAAAACACGATATTGAGGTCCCGCCGATTCGATGTCCTATTAGTTTTGGTTACAAAGAGAAAAAATGTTGAGAACAGCTTCCATAAGAAAGTGCTATTTTGAGTGGAGGCTATAATTCCATTGTCCCACACATGTTTAAGAATTGCACGCAGCTTCTTTTTGGTTGGATCCCAATATATTCATATCACTTATGGCGGCAAAAGGCTTCTCCATTTTCTTCAATAGGCCCCACTTAACCACGAGGAATCTGGTTTATTAGATTATCTCAGACATAATGGTCAGTGATTTCATAATTAGAAATTTATAACTTATCTTACTCTTACTTTTTTATAATTAATAATTTTCCACTTCTTATGTAATTTACACATGCAATATCAATGGAATTATTCCAAGTATATCATCCAAAAGACCTTAAACAAATAAAGCTCTAGAATTAACTGTTACTGCATAACATGACTATATCACACTACAACAAATTTGTAGCATTTTCCAATGTCAAACAACTATGATATTCAAGCATTTTATAATAAATTATCAGTGAACTATAAGGAGCCTAAATCACCCTTTTGTTAGTATATGAATACATATTGGAAAAGAAAAAAGAGAAAGTTTAGGCAAGTAAAGTATAATAACCAAACATTATTCATCTACCATTATTATTCATGAGCTGGGAAAACACTTGGCTAGTACTAACATCTGAACAATCATTATCATAATCTCTTTCCATTCTTCTGCTGGTAGAGTTTTCATGAATTGTTCTTGTTGTTTCATAATCCGCTTCGCTGTCACCGCTATCATCGTGTATCGTCCTTTGTTGTTCACTTTCTTGAAGCTGAAGTGCATATTCCAAATTCCACAAGACATCACCCATAGTTGGTCTGTCAACACCATATTCAGCTAAACATTTCTCTGCTGTTTCGCCAAATTTCTTCAATGATCTTGGTTTGATATCGTCGATAATATGAGGGTCGACAATATGATCCAGCATTCCCTTCTGCAGCCATTCGATCGCCCATTCTGCTAAATTCACCTGTTCTCTAGTCAGTTGTGGATCAACAGCAGGTCTTCCACAAAGAACCTCAAAAAGAACAACTCCAAATGAATACACGTCCGATTTATCAGTAAGTTGTTGCCTCCGGTAATACTCGGGATCAAGATAACCAAAACTCCCTTTCACACCAGTACTCACGTGTGTTTCGTTGATACATGGCCCTGATCTCGAAAGACCGAAATCAGCAACCTTTGCCACATAGTCTTCATCGACCAATATGTTGGTCGATTTAATGTCGCGGTGGATGATTCCTTGAGCAAAACCAGTGTGAAGATAATGCAAACCTCTGGCTGCACCAATGCATACCTCAAGCCGTTGCTTCCAATTGAGAGGCGGTTGTCGTGACGAACCATATAAATGCTTTTTCAATGGACCCCTTTCAACATACTCGTAGACAAGTATCATTTCTGAATTTTCTTCACAGAAACCAACTAGTGAAACAAGATGGCGATGGCGGATTTTGGATAAAATCGATATTTCAGAGTGGAATTCCGGAAGGCCTTGTCTTGAACCTGGCATACCTCTCTTGACAGCAACTTTTACATTGTCTCTAAGTACTCCTTTGTAAACCATACCAAATCCACCGGACCCTATAATCAAATTTCTATCAAAATTGTTTGTTGCTGATTGTATATCAGCAAAAGGGATCTTCATTCCAAGATATCCATAAGAACCGTGCTCGGATGTTCGACTAAGAGAACTCCCTCCGAACATACGCAAAGGCGTCCATCCCACACTTCCCACTATAGTTTCTTTTTGTTTCTTCTTCCTGCATTTGGTAGCAAGTATAAAAACAGTTACAACCAAAAACAAAACAACAATTCCTCCGATAACTGAACCTATCAACACCCATAAGTGCTTCCTCCCGCGCACAATCTTAGTATTATCGACATCGTTGACAATCTTCATTATCTCTGCACCATTCAATATGGCATTAATCCTTATAGAACTACTCAGCTCAGAAGGACCAACACTTATTTCAATAACACCCGAATCGTCCGAATTAGCAACAAAATCCACATACATCGGTGACGCAAGAGTGTGAAATGTAAGTGATGACAAATCAAGATCCTTATATGCAATATAACCATTGATATACACATCAAAGTAAAGCAAATTGAGAGAACTACTAACTATATCACAGAAATGCAACCGAATCAAGTGCGAAATACCATCAGAAGCCACAGGAAATTTCCATGTTATGTTAAACCTTGAAGCTAAACTTGTGTTTTCTCTATTCATCTGCTGAGCAGTCATGTAAACATTTTCCGGCGCGATCTCTGGCGTTGCGCCTCCCTTTTCGTAATCAGGTGTATGAGTGCTTACTGCATGTTTAGCTGCTTCCTTAAAAACCAAATAATCCTCATCAGGAATCCAAGTCCTCCAAAGGGTATCATTAAAAGGAGTTATTTTCACACCTCCAACATTAATCCTATGAATAGTTTCTAAAACCTGAGATGAAATGTTTTTGTACTCTTCCATACCTGAAGGACCAACCAACCTTGTTCCATAATCTATAACAAAATCTTCAGGAGCAGTAAAAACTTCCACAGCATTTACAAATCCAAAACCAGAATTAAAGGGTCTAAACAAAATTTCAAGCAAGTTTGACTCAATCTTCAAAATAAACTCTTTAATCAGAACCTCATCAGGTGGCTTAAACTCACTTAGAACCGAAATTCCATTAACA